CATCTTTCGTTTCTATAGCAACATTTATAGTCTTGACAAAAGTTTTATTGTTACAGTTGCTAGGATTTACTAAACTAAATTAATTTTACCTATTTATCCTTGAGTAGCGCCTAAAAAAGTTGGATAAGGTTTAATTTTTTCCTTATAATTTTGATAATACAAATAAGTTTTTCAGCCTTCTTAGACTTCGCGAAGAACTGTCCATTTTGTTGTACGTACCGTTCAATAACACCCTGTATTATATTACCTTACCTAAATGTTATTTATGGTTGTAGGTAGATATTAGAACAGAAATGTAGATATTAAAAAAGCTTAACTTGTGCATAATTCAATTGTATTTAGGTTAACAATAATTAGGTATTATATAAATTAGTCATTTTAATCGCCCTTAATTTTTTTTTAATTTTCTAATTTAATTTTGATTAGACTAAGTTTATTTGTGTATTGTCATTGTCCTATAATTGGAACCTTGTTCTGTTGGACAAACGATATTATTGTTATTATTATTATTAAATGTCAATAAATGTAAGTAACTTTACCGGTTTTATTTAAATTGTTTAATGCTTAACTGGCTGCATTTTTAACATTTTCAGACAATACGTCGCCTAAATCCATCATTTTTCTAATTCTGTTCACAAAACAACAAAATCTCACTATGGCACCGAAATATATCAAACAAACGTGATCAACCAAATTTATTTACTTTTTAATTAATTTTTGAAATATTGGATTAAAATGGGTAGAAACCAGTAAAATCTTGAATACACCACGGATGTAAACGGTGCCCTCACCGCCTTAGCCGTCTTATTAAAATCCTCGCTAAATGCTCGGATTTCAAACGGACGACTGCGGCGGTTATGGCATTGTTTACATGCTAGGTATATTAATAACCATAACGAACACGATAGATTGCGAAATTAAACTGATTATTCACAAACAAACGCCTTTTACTTATAATCAAAGCACACATCAATTTAATTTTTACAAAACGAATCTGTCATTGTTATACGAGCATCATGTACCTACTGTTAATTAAACGGAAATTTTTATACAATTGCTGTAACGTTAATAAAGCTTGCACTTTCTAATGTTATGTTATATACGTGTAGGTAAGCAGAGAAAAACGTTGTGCCTCGGTGGGATTCGAACTCCACGCCTCTCGCTGTCCGGGCAAGTATCCTAACCACTGGACCACGAGGCCACTTATCTTTCTCTGCTTACCGACGTGTTATTGTGCCGCCACATTCGTATGCAGAGATTAAATATAATCAACACAGTGAAATGTCTTGGATATACCTATCTACAGAAAGTCTAGTGCAATTGTATTTCTATCCGATATTCGCTAACAAGTCTGTCACTACAATTCAAACATTTTTATTTTTCACAAAATTGATCCTAAATAATACTAGTTAATTATTAAGTATAAGTAAAACCCTTGTAGGGTCAACGTGTTTTACTTGCTTAGCAGAGCAATCCGGGCCTGGTAGACCCGTTACGCATATTTTTGTTATTAAATAGCTTTTTGTTAATGTATTTATATCTTAAAACTAATAATTACATTATATAATGATTTATTTTTTAATTAAAACAAGTTCGCTTTGTAATCGAATGTTCGGTTCACGCATTTCTCTCGCATAAATAGCACATTTGTTTCTGTTTTCAGTCTATATTTTTCGGCCAAATGTACAATGTCTAATAATAATTAATGTGTGCTTTTGTGGAATATCTAAATAGAGATGATTTTTCAGTCCGATTTTTATTGACAGAAATTCCTTGGGAATAAACTTTTTATTTTCCCTCACTTAGAACACTCAGTAACAAATTATTTGCTAAATCTGTGAAATATTCGTCGCAACTTACATTCTTATTGATTTGATAGAATATAGTCATAAACCTTCCTCCCGTCGTTTCACCCATAATTTATATCCATTTAAGACAAAAATTAGTCATCTCAACCATGCCAACCTGCATATTAGCGACCGTAAACATAATTTTACCACGTATGTTAGAAACCACAGAACTAATTCGTCGGAAATTCTGTACATTCTTGAAGATTAAATCGATTGTTTGTATAGATCTGATGTCTTGTTGTATATAATTCATAACTTTTTTATGCTAAACTATCCTATGAATCAGTTTATTTATTTGAAGTCTTACGAACTTTGCTACTTAAATCTTGAATAATGTATACATCAAATTTGAAAGTTAGTGTGTAAGTACTGTGTTTAAAATGTGTGATTTTTATTTGTTAAGTATCTAGTATTTGTAAATTAATTAATACACAATTATAAAGATTTTTTTAATCAAAATTATGTATATATTTTCCGTCTGTTTGTCTGTTCGTCTGTCTGTCTGTCTGTCTGTCTGCCGTCACGGATTTTTATTAGACAGATAATCTCCGAAAGTACTTGGCCGATTGTTGTCAAATTTGGTATACTTCTATTAAGGATATCATGTAGATGGTAAAATGCCAACTAAAATTTGTCTAATCATCCCCACCAATAATCTAATGACTTCACTTCAAAATTATACATAGTAAATGGGTTTTAAATTGTATAAAATAACATAGTTCTGCGCATGTAGTTTATGACTCCGTGTTGACTTTTTACACGAAACGTCCAGATTTTTGGAAAAAAAGCAAAATTATGAAACAACATTTGAATGCTTTGAAATCCTATAGATGTTTTAAAGTTATGATAGGCATGATAATTTTTTAATCAAAATATGTTTACTTATCCCCTCCAAAAATTGATGACGTCAGCTCAAAATTTTGCCGAATAAATCCTATCTAAAATGTAGAAAATATGATAAATCTATACTTGTGATTTATCATTCTATTCATATTTTTTGGATTTGTTTATACAGGGGACTAAAAAAAATTAATGAATGGGTAAATATATTTTATTGATTTAATCAGGCACTACAAAATCGAATGCTTTGAAATCTTGGAGATGTTTTAAGGTTATCATAAGCATGGTAAATGTTTGATCAAAATGTATTTATTCATCCCCACTAATAAATTGATGACGTTAGCTCAAAATTTTGCTAGACAAATTCTTTCTTAAATGTGTAAATATGATGAGTCTATACTTGTGATTCATCACTGCATTAATATTTTTTAGATTTGCATATACAGTGTCTTAAAAAAAATTAATGAATCCATTTATTTTTTGCAAAACTAATTACTTTGCGAACTCATTCAAATCAAACTAATTTCTACGTGACATTCTTCAGGTGTATAAATAATAACATTTTCAAGTTGTTTTTCTTATCGAGGATAACCTAAGGATGTAAAGTAATGGAGTCCATCAGGCAATTTGGTACTTTTATATTTTCTCGATATTTCATAACTATAGCTAAGAGGAGGCTAGGGGATACTAACCCTCCCCTAGATCTAGACAAGTTATAATTAACCAAATGTGAATTTACAACATCTAAAATCAAAATAAAATGTAGTGTTTTATTCAATAAGCGGAAGTCAGAGCAATAAAAAAGTCTGGACCGTCGGCATTGTGATCCGGTTATTGCAATTCGTAGAACACAACTTTTTGTTTAGTTTCTGTTTCATTCTCACGTTTTCAGGTTGATAAGTGTTATCGCTATTTGTCTTAAATTACGAGTACCATAAATGATTTTCAGTGCAGTCTTCAATCGCACCTGTTATTACATACGGGAGACGTGATTAAATTGTTTCGTTATTTTATTGATCATTAATCACTATTCAAGAATAACAATAATACAATACTTCTATTACTAGTATTACAATGCATCTATCCAAACTAATATATGCATTCTTGAAAAAATATGGATGACATCAACACAAAATTTTGCAATAGAAAAACTCACTTGTAACAAAGGGTTAGCACGTTTCCTTACCTTTACTCAAATATTAGATACATATTTTTATTTTAGTGCTCATTCACAATGGGCATAAAGCATAAGGATGTCCTAAGCATTATGCTCATTGTGAAGCATAGAGCACTAAACATAAATTTTTATGGGTTAATGCTATCACATCCTTATGCTTTATGCCCATTGTGAATGAGCACTTAGCTTTTAATGGTTGCCATAAAAAACAATAAAATTCTCAAAATCAATTTAGTTTTTCGAAAGATGTGGATTTGATACGCTGTAATTTATGGGCAAGTGAAGTTTTGTCGAAGTAATCTTCGACCATTTTTTTAAATGTGCTATTGGCTTTATGTAGAATACAGTTTCCTTATTATCTTTAATAAAATTATTTCAATGCCTACCACTGGCTTGGAAATAAATGATGGGCATTTAGGCGAGGCTTCTATCAGTACCGGTACTAAGATGAAGTAGATTAACAACAAATTTTTCGAGATCCTGGAATTACAGCATAAAAATTCGTCTGCTATTATTCTCCAATCTCACCCCATCCCTAAAAGTCTAACCTAACTGCCAAGCATTTATAATTTTATGTAATAATTTAGTATTATTATTATTATGGACCAATGTTCTTACTTTTTAATATACTTCCATAATAGTATTTCAAACATAGCGCATCAATTCATGTTGCAAAAATTCAAACTTTGGTGATTTTTGTTTTGTTAATTATATTATACAAAATAACTTTTTATAACTAAAATTCAAATTTTAGATACTCTAAAAAAATATTTTCATTGAATATGATTTTGAGATGTCATGCCCCTTATGACCATCTTTAACATGTGCCACTAAAGCGGCAGCTATACTGAAGTACCTTTTATTACTTGAGGTATTTTGATCACTTATTTGAACTGTCACTTCGTCCATTATTGAACTGAATTAAAACTACAGTGTTGCGCCTTTTATGCAACACCCTCTTTCCGGACCTCCCCTCTGTACTTATATATATATATATATATTAATTTAATTAATGATTTTTTTTTGTTCATAGTAGGTTATAAAATAATATCTACCATGCTAGGATATTATTGCAAGGCACAAAATAAAAGCAATGTATTTACTTCAATAGCTTATTTCAATTTTTGTTTTAGGTATTTGTACCACAAATGATTTAGATATCTACTTTCAACACATGAATAATGCTCGTTACGTCAGAGAATTGGATTTTGCAAAGTTCCATTTTTTCAAAAGAACAGGAATCTATGAAAACATACTCAAAGCTGAAGGTGCAGCCTTAAACACAGCATGCCACATTCGTTATAGGAAAACCATACCACTGTTCACTCCATACAAAATAACGACAAAGGTATGTATTTAATGTTTTCTTATTTGACAGCAGTAGATTTTGACTAGTGTGAATTGAATACTATGTAATCAAAAAAAGTCCTATAGAATTATATAAAAAAAAAAAATGTGTTTTCAAGATCTTCATTGCCACAGCTGTTTATTTTTGAAGTTACGGGAAATTGTTTGACAAAATTCTTCTATGCATCCCATTAAAGAGTAAAACCATTCCCGCTTTCTTGTTTGACTTCATTTCAGCTATAACTTTGGATAATCCAATTTTTATGTTCTGTTTGAAGCATTTTTTTATTAGACTGGTAATATTAATATCAAACTGGCAAACTTCAATGGAAAACAACTTTTTTTATAATTCCATGGTTGACTCGACGACGTTTTTTTTTTCCCGATCATATAATATTTTGTTCCAAAGGTGTAAACCAGTTGCGGCTATTAGGTGTAAATTAAGGAAGGGCACATCGATCATAAATTTTACCTTTATCCGTAGTATTACTTACGTGGATTTGTTTTTATACACCTGTTCGTTATCTTACTGGTACAAAGTACAACGGCAAAATGAATCGTCGAATAGTCCAATATGTTTCAAATCGAAAACTCTCGGATTCATTCAAGAAGCGCCCTTTATGCAATTTTTAAATAAGATAGCATTTTCTTGATCACATCCACGTAACCACTTACAGTTTTCATATAACTGGTAGGTGAACCATTTGTTGTAGGTTTTCTTTGCTAATTTATGCAATTTATTAGTTATGCTTAACTTTGGTTTAAGATACCGTCACTTTCTAATCTACCACTTCCTTCGCGTCCAAAATTGACTATCTACAGTTTAAATTTTTTTTTTTTTTATTCTTAACTTTTATTCATAAATAAATAAAAATATTCATAAAAATCAGAAAAATGAAATATGCCCCAAATTTTTGAGACGGAACCTTGTCCTGTATCCTATACTACTAGTTGCCCCTGTGGAGAACTCGATTTTTTGATTGGGCTATTCTTTTTTGTCTATTCAATTTTTCTCTAATTGCAGTTCATTTCTTACGTGTAGTGTGTTTTAATTCAGTATCAACAGTGACAAAATCGTACACTAAACATATCTAGAAACTTGATGATTTAAAAAAATGCGGTGTTGTAAAAATGCTGTAATTAAAGATATAATAGTCTCAAATCTAAAAATACATATACACGGTGTTATTGAAGGGTACGTACAACAAAAGTAACAGTTATTCGCGAAGTCTAAGAAGTCTGAAAAACTTATTTTCTGTTATCAAAATTATAAGGGGAAAATTAACTTTTATCTAACCTTTTTAGACGCTACTGAAGGATAAATCGGTAAAATTAATTTATTTTAGTAAATCCTAGCAACCCTAACAATAAAACTTTTGTCGAAACTAATTGTTGCTATAGAAACGAAAGATGAACTTTTTATCAGAGGCGTACAACGAATTTGGACATAAATTTTAATAATTTTTATCTATAAAAGGAGAACACATTTACCTGAACTTTTTTTTATTTTTAGCACTCATACTTCGAGACCAATTGCCGATTTTATTTTGTACGTACCTTTCAATAACATGCTGTATTACAATATTGCTCATCGGATTTCTGTAAGAGAATATTTAATAATACGTAGATTTTTTTCAGACTTTATATGTAATTTATGTTGCAGGTAGTTCACTGGGACGAAAAACATGTATATTTAGAACATCAGTTCATTCAGTTAAGCGACAATTTTATTACTACAGTTATTTTATCCAAGCAAGCAATTGTAGGAGTTAATGTTAGAGAAATGATGAACAGATTGTTAGAGAATAAAGATGAAATGTATATGCCCAAACCACCGGCCGAGCTTGAAGACTGGATACATTTAAATAGGAAGTCAAGTGCAAGATTAAGAAACGGAAATGTGTGTTTATAGCATTATATATATAACAAATTATTAATTTTATATTTGCGTTCAATATGAATAACTTTAAAAATAAAACATAGCATAGCATTTAATTTTTTTCTGTTTGTAATGATAAAATTTTCTCAGATTTTACATGTCTGTGTAATGAAAATGGTGCCTTCAGCTTTTCTTGCAGAGATTACTAAGAGCTCTTACTAGATAAAAAAAAATATCCTGTCAACAATATTATATTTGAATGAGGACAATTACAGAACAAAAACTACTCACTCACTCGCACTTCTAAAAAGGAGTTTGGTATCAGAATTAAGCTGATTATTATGTAAGGACCTAAATTTTTATGTCTGCAACATACCCAGACGTATTTTTGAACTATCAAAAATGCATCTGCGTAATAGTATATTATTACATTATAAGGGTAGTACTCGTAAGTAGAATTTATCATGTTGAGCGAGAGAGATTTCCAATCTCGCCAGATAGGGTTAATCAGTTACTTCCCGCTAATTATTTATTTAAAAACGTCAACGTTGCTTTAACACGCGCAAATTTTCATTAAATTAGATTAATCTACGAGATACTGCATTGTAACAGATAGTGAATACAACGTCCAAGAAGCTGCGAATGAGCAAGTCAAGAATTACTGCCGCGAAAATCGAAAATCAGACATGAAAATTCCTATAAAGTCACATGATAAAAATTTCAATCTTGTCAACTTCATCGCTTTAGAAAAACTCATGTCGTCTTCTACAATTTCTCACAAAAAGAGCCGCCCACCAGCAAAGGTAACTTCAGAGATATTATTTTGGTTCCTCAATATTTGGTCATATAAAAAATATATAAAAATTCTAACTGGGGCAGATAAACTCAAAGGGGATTCATAAACCACAAGTGTAGGAGTATATTATCGTATAACATTTAGATCCGGTTTACAGAAGCTCAATTAAATATTTGATTGCAAATATATTTTTAACACGGAGTTTAAGTACCACGAGACCACGCCAATCAGACGTCACTAAATGCCTCGTTAAATGATACATATAAACTGACCCTTAAAGAGTAATATGTACAAACTTTACAGATGACCGCTATCAAAATGTTGATGGAAGTAATTGGACAGTTTTGGTTAGCCTTTTTTAGATCATCTGTCTAATAAAAATCTGGATAGATGACAGACGGCAGACAGCAGACAGGCAAACAGATAGACACAGACATATAGACGGAAAAAAGACGTCCTCTTTCGCACGGGGGGTCATGACACGTTCAGACAACATGAAATTAGTCATTCATCGGATAGGGCAATGCCGTCTCTATTACAATACTGCTTTAGCTTACAATTGGGAAGATCTTTGTTCCTCCTGTCTTAACTGTTTACCTGAATGTTAACTTTATTTAGCATAAATGTATTTTGTTGTAGGTAATCTATCCGTATTCTTCCAGTGTCCTAAACGCAATTCAAGAAATAAGAAAAATTTCACCTCATATTTTTTATTTCTTATTTCTTATTTCTTATTTTTGCTTACCAAGTACCAAGTACTGATAATTTGAACAAGATTAACAAAATTAAACGTATAACTATATTTTGCAACAAAAGATGGACAATGAATTTCTGTAAACTTAATATTAAAGGCTACTACGAATTAATACAATAGATTTTCAACAGAGTTTAATTAAAATACCCATAACTAATCGTTAGAATAGTTAATTAATTATGTTAAGGACTAATTTTATTTAAATTTAAACTTCATTAAGGGTCTTCACCAACTTGTCGAAATAAATGTTTCTCTTGTGTCGACCGAAGTGATAATCCATATGATTTAGATTTTTCACTATCAAATGCCCATAAATCTTGCATGTGTTATTTAATATTTTAATTAACAAATCGGTGTCCTGTAATGAAAGACAAAAATCTATAAAAAATGAACTAAATTAGATGTTAATTAATTAATGATTTTATGCAGTTACTTTGTTAGTAAAATATTTTCAAATCGCTGTAAACATATAGTCTGTATACAATGAAATATCTTTTAATACTCAAACTCTATTCAGATAATGGGAGACTGACTATAACACAAGTAAATTTATCTATATAAAATCTCTTTTCAGTACAGCTCTATATCAGTCAAACCTAAAATCCGTTTATTCAACAGATGTAGTGATCCGGTGTCTACAAAATGAGCTTCCAAGCGTAAACGATAACACCAAAAATGAACGTATTATTACGAAATAAACCCATACATCGCCCCGGTACGACGCCTATGGGTTTTCTAGTATGTGCGGCGGTGACGGCGGCCGGACGGAGTTCGCTAAAGAAAAGCCTGGAAGCAGAAGTCGTGATGGGTATTCCAGAAAGACCTCGATCATGGAACTTCTAGAAGGATAGTATGGGTTTAAATAGAGACCAGCTTCGGGAACAAGAATTATTATTCAGGCAACGAGTGGAGTCCAATGAATGAATTCAGTCAAGTTACGCCGAAATTATTTTGTACATAATTGGTGTGTAATTAGTCGTGTAAATTTGAGTTACTAAGAAATAAATTGTTGAGTTTACCCACGTTGATTTTAAATATCCGTCCAACGTAACAGTTTAGTAAAATTTGGGTGGAATTTTCAAAATATTTTGGCTTCTTTAAAAATGTGTCTTACATTCTTTGTTTTTGAAATAACATACAGTATGGTCCAAAATGTTTCCCAGAACGGAATAAAAATCTCATCTCTCTCTCTAACTATGAATTTCTTCGGCATTGGGAGATTTCAGGGTGTCTGGTTCAAGTCGACCCCTGTTATGGCTCGACACAGTTTGTTTTTTTTCTGCTCGTCTCGGAAAATATTTCCTCTTGTACAAATTTTCTAAGTTCTGAAAATTCCTTCCTCATTAGAGATGTAATCAACAGATTTGTTCGAACTGGCAGTATCAACAAAGAGAAAGCTCGTGAAAGACTTCATCTGAGGAAATTGTTGATGATTTGAGATGACTTGAGCAGAATTGAACAATTGAACAACGAACAACGGGTCCAAAGTATTGACGAAAGGATGTTACAGAACATTTTTGAAATTAAAAAGAGAGTGAACATGTGACTTGAACAGAATGATCAGCATTTTAAACATTTACTGTGATGTTTAACCGCAAAAATTTGTTTCTTTTTATCGTAATGAATTAGTTTTATTTTTTAAAAACATGTGAAGCGTTTAGGCAACCAGTTATACACATGTGTATGTGGTCCATGTGTGATCTTTGTCATGCGTCCTTGGGCACTTAGTACGGATCTCCGTACAATTAAATCGGAGAGGCGGCACGTTTACATCACCTACTGCGACCCTATAATCATTTATAGAAACCCTGTATCAGCTGACTTAGCATTTCTCTGATTGACGAATGAGAGAATTCTCTAAGGAAAACAAATTATAAGAAAAAAATTCTGTTATAAAATCTTCTGATAAGTTTTGGTAGAATAATATCACTTTTCAATTAACTTTTTCTTGATATTATCTTATAAAATCTTCTGATAATTCTTGATCAGATGAAATATATATCCACTTGACTTTATCTTGAAGTTCCCTTATAAAATCTTTAGATAAATTTTGCTCAATTGAAATTTCTTTCCAATTAACTTTATTTTGAAATTCTCTTATAAAATCTTCTAATAATTCTTGATATATCGATATATCATAATCATACCAATCAAGTTCATCTTGAAATTTTCTTATAAAATCTTTAGATAATTTTTGATTCCATCATTTCTGCGATTGACGATTCCATTTATAGAATAAAAAATTAAATTTTGTTTAACCCCGAAAATATTCAGTCTCAGAATCATCCTCAGAATCATCAGAATACATATAACACGGTTTAATTGCTTCTTTGAAAAAAATTAGGGGTGCGGCGTCCCTAACCCTGGAAAACCGAGTCAAAGTTGTCAGCACAGTTTTTACAAAGTAAGTTGAAAACAGGGTCAAATACTTTAAAATTTAAACCTTCTTAACCTTTATAACTTAAAAACAGGGCAAAAACCTTGAAACATTTGCTTTTTTAAATATACCTTTGAAAACAGGGCAAAATCCTTAAAAAAAATCATACTGTGCTCAACAGGCCCACTGAGTGGTTACTGGTGTACTAATTTCTACATTTCTGTACACAACTTATATCTTAATAGGACATCAAATGTGAAATTTATAAATTCTCAATCATGTCAACGGGTGTCTATGGAAAACCTAAATCAGTCTTTGCTGATGAGTGATAACTAACCTGGGCTGTAGTAAGTGAATCATTATGGCTAGAGATAAAAAAAATAGGAACCGAAATATTTTCAATAGGATACCGTGGTGGAAGTTCGGATTTATAGTACTTTAGATTCCTTTGTTTGCCATAATCAAACTGTTGAAATCTTGTTTCAGATTTCACGAGTTGCAAATAGTGTAATAACAACTTCCAAGAAAAATCACTTAAATATACTCCACAGTCAAAATTAAGAACGGCCTAAAAACCAACCTTTTTAGAAAAATAAATATAATACTCTCCGTTAACCATTACCGGATCTGCTTGCTTCGGAGTCCACCCCAAGAAAAAGGACAACAGTAAATTCAGTAAACTAAGTGACACTGGAAATAATCTAAAAATAATTTTTGATATCTGGGCTATCGGTAGAAAAAATAATACGTTTCCAAGCTTTAAAGTATCAACGATTGACTGAAATATTAATTTTGTTTTGATTTATATCAAAGTACTCCAATAATTAACCTGTAGTATTGGTTCAAATGGAGTGAATATTTTTAATGGGCTTGATATGTGTGTGTAAAAACAAGGCACTGACATAAAAACAAGTAATTTGATAGAATTATTTGCTTCTTTTGGATGCAGTGAACTATAAATCAAACCTGCCGACGATCCTTGTGAGTGTCCAATGTAAATTATTTTAGAGTGGGAATAGTTTTTAGCCAACAGTACCTGGCTAGATAGATCGTAAAAACCAATCTCATGGAAACTAGAAATTCTAAAATAATTATAAATAGAATTCTTTTATAAAGATATTTTCACCTATAATTCCAATAACGAAAATCTGTTACTAGGAGTGTTTGGTGTTTTTGTGAATACAGTGTACCACGTGCGTTACTTAGCCATATTTCATATCCAGCATGCCATAAATAAAATGCTATTAAATTCATATATTCAATCAGTTATAAATTATAACATTATTGTACATACCTAATGATTCATTTCCTTGTCCCACCCAAGCTCTGGAATCAACTGCTAGTGAATGTTCAAGCAGAATAACGCCTTTATAATTTTTTCGAGGAATTCGAAACATTGTCAAAATATAACCATCTTTGGTAGTTACATGGTGAGTTTCCACGTCTCCAGTATATTTTTTTATTAAAGCTGGCTACATTACGACACAAATAGTTGTTGGTTCGTGTTGAGACGTACTACAAGAATGGTGATTATACTTACCATTTCTAACGACATGTCAGAATTATAAAAACAATTTTTGTTGTTGTGAGAATTGACGTAATCATTAAAAGTTTTACATGCATTATTTACTTTGAAAGTAGCACAAATTACTGAAACATCTAAAATACATAGTAGAAATGAAATATTTAATTTCAGTAACATTTGTTTTCTTATTTTTTTTTTTTTTAAGGAGATGGTACACTTAAGCAGACCACGACAAAATTATGCACATACTTTTTTTCTGTGAAATTCCAAACGCAAACGTCTAATTAAAAATAGATCATAATTTGTAAAACTCGTTAAAATGTGCAGAACCAAGCAAGGTTCTTTCAGATTAATGGCTGTTAAAATTATAAAAAAATTAGTAAATATATTATATTTTCATTCATGCTGAAATAAGTTTCCTTAATATCAAGTCTAAGATTCATCAACTAGTTTTGGTACCTTAACAACTAGTTTTGGTACCTTAATAATTGTTAATACTAAACATAAATATAAGTATCAATAATAATAAAAAACTGCCTTTATTTCTTAGGATATAAAATTAAATCATAGGAGTGAGATTTTAGTAAGGTATGTGCATGCAGGGTGTATGTTACAGCTAGTATCCGAAATCCGTTATTATGCATAATAACTAGACATTTTAGGAATTATGCGTAATAACTAAACTTGTCAGTAATTATGCATAATAACCGGAAATATTAGAAATTATGTGTAATAACTGAAATTTTCAGTTATTATGCATAATACTGGAAACGTTTAGGTAATATTGATAATAACTAACAGAGGAACAGGAATTATGCATAAGAAGAAGAAAATTTGTGTGGGTTGTTAACTTAATTTACCTCAAAATTATACAATATATCAACACCTATGTTGCAACTGTCTGACGATGGAAGATTACACATTTCCTATAAATTATTGAAAAAATTCTTTGACCCGATCTGATATAACCTATTTAGATACAACTTAAAATTATATTTAAATATACAGGCTGTTTCCGTTAAAAGTTACATACCATAATCGCCAATTTTTAACGTAATAGCAATAGCCTATATATTTTTACTAACTAGAAACAGACACTAAGCTCTTTTAATCAACAATTTTCAAAACGTTTGCATTTTTACGAAAAAGAATTCTCAACTCGATCAAGTTTAAAGGTGAAGCTTTCAAGCTTTGTGCAACATTGTAGTTTAGTTATATATGTATTTCCCCCTGACAAACATTAAAAAAATTTATTTTATGTAAGTTTATTCAAGGTGACTAATGTACAAAATTATTATTCATGTACACGAAATCGATTCTGCACCGCTAATGCGTCCTTAGCGAACACGCAACTCTTCGCCAGATGGAGCTGCGTCAAACCCCCAATACATTACCCCCAATGTCCCCAATCAGACATCCTCATTTTCACCTCGGTCACCGCGGCCACCATTTTCCCCTTCGAACTTCTTACGAGATTTATAGTATTAGTAATTCAGTGAATCCTACAGCACAACTAGAAGTGCATAATAATCTTCTTATTGTGGACGTTTAACGTGGCAGATTAGAAGGCAGTTAGCTCTGATAAGACCCACCAAGGGTCAAGGTCTGTTCTTTACTGTCTTCAAACGGCTGCACTAAGCGTCCAATGATGAATCATAACTAGGGCCTGTGTTTTAGGTCACAAAAAATGAGGAAAATTCGCCTAGAATAGGCTCTAAGAAGCTTCAAATTGGGTTATAAAAATGTTGAAATAGGTTTAAATAAATAGGTTGATACCAATCTAAAACCTTCAAAATTTCGAAGCAACATATACTAATTTAAATATTGAATGATAAAAAATTATTAGTTAATTGCAGTAAAATTTGCAAACTTGGATTTCTGCGATGAAAATTAAGATGAACATCAAGAGAACCTAACTCCCTCTGAAATTGTTGAAAGAGCCACAAATATCAGTAGAAATGGTCAATAACCGTCTCCAAGCACTGATTTATTTTCAAAATTGTAGTAACCTTACTATAAACTTTAATTAAAAAAATAAATATTAACTCTACGTTTTTTGTGGTCGTCGGCAAAATATCGTGTACAACACGTGTTGAAAATTCGATTTTACACTCGTTTACTTAAGGCTAAGCTTAAGCTTCAAAGCAACAAAAAACTTAACGAAATTTCAGAAAATTCGGGTTTTCAGTTTCAAAGTTAAATTATAAAATGTTTTTATGTAATTTTAACTCTTCCCAAAAATCTGGATGTCTAAGATAAAAGCTCATAGATTCATAAACTACAAGTGCAGGAGTATGTTACTTTGTAAAATTTACTTTTGTATATATTACTATAATATTCACTATTGTAAATTTTTGAGGTGACGTCATCTCATTGTTAGTGGGCGATGATGAGATATATTTTGGTTAACGTTTTACCATCTACACGGTACTCCTAAAATACATGCAAAATTTGATAAAAATTGGTCAGGCAGTCAGACAGACGGAAACGGGATACCTATGTTTTCGTACTCCAGGGGTTACCCTATTACAATGCTTCCTTCGCTTAAGCTAGAGAAGTAAAAAAATGTCATTCTAAAACTATTTCAAATGAAGATTCTTTCAGCTATTATCGTTTCAGTTTGTTGTAAATACTTTTTCATTTTATTCTCATACTTCCTTTTTTATATTCAATATCTTTTAACTAATTAGTTTCAGTTAAACAATTCTGTATATTTACATGTAGCACTGTGCTTTTTATTTATTTCAACAAATTTGCGAAACGTGTGTATCACTTAATACAATTTACTTCAAAAAGTATATTTGCTGCAGTTGTTGGCCTTATTTTAATCTAATCAGTGAAATAAATAAATTTTGCGATATAATGCATAGATTTAAATGTAGATAAAGCCTATAAAAACACAAAAATCTAGCAGTTGATATTAGTTAACATCCAATACTAAACCAGTCTTAAGAGTAGTACAAACAAGTATTAGTTTGAAAAAGATGATTGTTCGGATGGATTATATTTTAACATTGACACGAACCAGTGCGATTGGGAAAGTAATGTAAACTGTACTGATAACATCAGTGTGCAGTTGTTTGTTTAGTCATTAGCATCATAATACTATTGCATTTTTAATAAATCTATTAACATAGTATAAAATCACAAAATGAGACGTGTTTTCTGCCCTTTAATCAACCCTTAGAAACACACATAAAATAATACATTTTATTATTTAGAATGATTACTTTTCGACTTGAAGACTTAAGCTTAACAGTTTTATCAATTTTTTTTTTCATCCCTCCGTCCACTATTGACGCTTTTGGAGGTCCAGGGCGTCAAAAATGTCACTAAACGAAACTCCCTAGACGTAATGTTGTCGGCATTGATTGTCACAAAATCCGAAAATCACAAAAGTAGTTAATTATTACTGCCAAACGAACTAATTCTTATGAAATAAATAAAACGTTGTTTTTAGTTTTGGTGTTAGGGATTGTTATAATAATTAGATCACCTTTATTTTTTACATCATTTACTGTTATTTTTGTCAATTCATCCCTGCGACAAGCTGCACTCACACCAATTGTTATCGCTGTCTGAAACCACATTCACTGAATAAAATATGAACAATTAAGTAATATATGTACCTACTTTCATTAATAGACAATCCTCATCTGGAGCATGTGTTATAGATTTTTCGATGTCTTCAATTTCAAGAGATTTAGATTTTCTCGGCACGTAATCATTCTTTTTTCTTTTGAAAAAAGCAGTGAGTTTTGCATAACTTTCTATTCTGGTATTGTGTTTAATATTAAGCGTTGCCTTCAGCATAGAAAATAAGGACCATAGTGAAGCAGAATTATTTGTTTTTGACTTTCCGTCAAAATATGCAAGTAAAACATATTCATTGTAAACGTTTTCACTATTATTGTCTAGACCACTTTTGGAACTCATCGTATGCTTTCCAGTAACGAGGACCAGATTTTGCAGGTAATAAGTTATCAATTACGCTTTCAGCGGTTTCTTTTATGTGAGCTGGAGTTTCCATTACTTATTATTAATAGTTTTCAAGAAAATGATATAAGGATGTCAAAATTATGAATCTTAAACTTCATGAATGAATTTTAAATTCGAAAATCTTGTCTGCATTGGATTAGTGGTACCAACCGAAAAAAAAATTAAATTCCTACAGCCTCTTTTGACGGAGTGATTTTTAAATATTTTTTCCAAATTTAATTTATGTCGACATGAAGAATTTTGTGGATTACACGTCCAGAAAATGTTTTGCGAGTGCTCGTGTTGCTCCGCCTCGGCTAGCACCTCGGCTTCGAAATATCCACTCACACTCGCAAAAAGTCATTTTCTGGACTTGTGATCCAAATAACTATTGCATACATTTCAAAAACACCCTGTGTATTTAAATATGTATTCAACTTCCCTGGTCCTAACAGTACATTTCGGCCATAAACTTGAAGTAGGTTAGCACTGGAGTCATGTTGGATTGTGATTAACGTAAAGCTAGAGTCGAAAAGTCGAAAAGTAATCATTCTAAACAATGAAATGTATACTTATATGCGTGCTTCTACGTGTTGATTAAAGGGTAGAAAACAAGTCTCATTTTGTGATTTTTTACTGTGTTAATAGATTTATTAAAAATGCAATGCTATTATGATACTAATAACTAATAACTAAACAAATAACTGCACACTGATGTTATCAGTACAGTTTACATTACTTTCCCAATCGCACTGGTTCGTGTCAATGTTGAAATATAATCCATCTGAACAGTTAAACAAGTAGGCAACACCACCAGAACATTCATAGAATTGTTCACAGGTTTCCGCCGGAAAAAATATTTCAGTCTCATTATCGCCGCCAGGTGGACATTGAGGATCTGTTTTTAAATTAAAATAAAAAAAAGTAATTCAATTTAAAAACTTAATTACCTTGGCAAGAATATGCAACGAAGATGTAAACAAAAAGTAGTTGTAGAAACATCTTTTTCAAATTAATACTTGTTTGTACTACTCTTAAGACTGGTTTAATAT